AGGAGGAGGAGGAGGAGGAGGAGGAGGAGGAGGGGGAAACCCCACAAAGAGCAGCCCAGCCAAGATGTGCGTACGAGTAGATAGCGCAGCATAAACCCAGCAAGCACAGCACAAAAGATCTACAATGAACAAATTATGCACCCTCCCTCCACTACCCTACCACACTTAGTTCTACGCACAAGTACCAGTGGTATCCCGCAAACCCCGGAAGTAAATCGGCCTCAGAAACCCCGACCTTCCGCCCTGTCAATTCCGGGCTTAGTTAACTAGCGACCCGCCCGGCCTTAAGGAAAACCAACCCAGAACCTTTGTTCATATAAACGGAACCCATGAACCCGTCTACCCGTTGTACCCGTGCGTGCCGGTTTCCGGACCCCTCCCTCGTCTCCACTGACAGCCCATTTGAATCTATCTTGTGAATCGCACGGATACACGGATGAGGTCTTTTTTTCCTGTTAATTCTCTACTACTGCTGGTGTATGCGGGTTCAATCTAGTTGAGTTCTTGGTGGAGATTTTGTAGAGTTATGATGATGAGGCTTGAGGCCGGGCGGGGAGGGGGGACTTCTTTTTCTGCCGGATTTATTTTTGGGGGTTCTGGTTGGGTATAGCAGATGCTTGTTCTTTCTTTAGTTAGTTTCTTTTTGATTCTTTTTGATATTATTGAACACTGGGATAGCTACTTTGTTAGTTAGCTGATTGAGGAAATGAGGTAAGGTGAGTCAGCCATCGCCCTGTTTCGTGAGTCAGTAAACTACTGGAAAAGTGAGGCTTGAGGTGCGGTCGGAGTTATACTGCAGGGGTTTGGTTTATTGTTTCATGCAGTGGGAAGTTGGATTTTCGGAGTTAGCGAGACACATTGGACACCTACTTCTGGGACTCTGTTTCTGAATTTAACTGGATGACTCTGTTGTTGTTGATTGAGAACTGGGATTGCGGGTTGTGTAGATTGTCTTTCTTTATAAGTGAGACATTGTCGTCTGAGGGGTAGGTAGTAGTTCTGGCTCGATGATCTACTATATCTGATTTGAAAGGGGAAAGTCTGTGCTGTTGTGGATTGTCTTGTGCTAGGAATGTATGGAGTAGGGTCCTGGGCGGGGATAAGTTGATTCGTTTACTTACACATGTTCTGCATTGACAGTTGTTGATCCACGCTCATGCTTGTTCTACATTGATTGGATGAATGTCTGGTGCTACGGCATGGAATGATTGATTGGTTCTACAAGGCTGAACACAAGTGTGCCGATGCATGTGATTCTGCCGTGCTTTACGGTTCAACTACGTTGGCCAATTTCTCCATGTACTGTACTCAATGTACCGCATGTATGTATGTACTTGTACACATCTCTCACTCACGCATAAGTTGCAGAGGGCAGAAGGATGTACAACCAAGACAACACAAAGCAGAGCATAGCACGCACCACTAAGCCCAACTTACTCAATCCCTGCCTCCGAAAAGACTCCCCAGATCCGTCCCCTTCTTCCGCAACCACCCCTTCCACCACCACTCCGGCCGTCCGCCCTCCTCATCCGCCTCCACCAGATCGCACGGCAACAGGATCGCATGGTCCAGCGCGTGCGGCAAGCCGCGGTGCCGTCCCCGCACCTGCATCGCAATGATGATCGCCTTGGCTGGCCCCCCAAACTCCCCACAGAGACTCGTCTCCGTGCCGGGATAGCCCAGCGACAACCCCACCGTGCCGTACGCGGACACGATCTCGAACAGAATGGGGAACAGCGAGAAGGACAGGTCGGCCGGGTGGTCCTGCAGGCGCTTGCCCTCCGCCACCGCGATCAAGAAAAATCCGAGTATCACGTACCAGAGGTCGAAGCCCAGCTGACGCTGGACATGCGCCGCCAGCGAGTCAGATTGGTGGGGCGTCTTCTCGTCGTCGTAGTCGTCGCTGTAGAAGATTCCCAGGCTCTTCTCTTCGTAGACGTTGGTTTTGCGCATCGCGATGGCGATCGGGAAGGCGGAGATGTACATCATCACTACGAAGGAGACCTGCGTGGCTGGGTGGAGGGTGTTGAGGGAGGTGATGCTGAAGCCGGCGGTTCGGGTTGAGGCGATCTGGAAGAGACCGTTGACAAGTCGGAGACCGGGGGAAATGTCATTGGCTTGGGGGGTCTGGTCGATTCTTTAGCTTTGCAAAGTGAATTTTCCGGAGCGGGTGAATTGCTGACAGGCCTTACCTCTTGAAGAGTATAGAAGATGAATAGGTCGATCGCGTTGAGCAGCAACAGGACGGCGGACAGTCGCCACGTTTCAGCGCTGGGAAATAGAAGCGTGAAGCACCGCCGCGGATGCTCCAGGAGATATTCCAGTTCGTCGTCGAGAGGAGATCCGTACGTCGTGAACTGGGAGAGAGTCCAGATGATGAAGCGGAGCATACACGGGAAACCCGTATTGCCGATGACGACCAAAAAAGTCATCACGAGGAGAGGCAAAGGTGCAGTCTGAAATGCATCCATCGAGTCTGGAGTTAGCGTGAACCCCAGATCGTTAAATGCGGATCCAGCCGTGAAGATAGCCCACCATGGCCGGTTGATGCCCGCATCGGCGAGGACCTGGCTATACTGCCTGTTCGGCAGAACCCACAGCATGAACAGCACAATCCCCAGCAGATGGAAAGCCACGAAATAGCAGACGAGTATGACGAACAGCGTCTTCAAAGCCCGATACTCGATCCCGCCGAGCTCCTCCTTCTGAGCTTCGTCCCAGTCGGCGTAGCTGGCGATGGACGACTGCCACATCAACGCAGGTAGTGGGGGTATATCGTTGAGATCATGGCAGGAGCGCTGCAGCGGACTGTCAGGCTCAGACAGCGACCGGCGATGCTGTTTGATCTCGTACTCGGCCTCCGAGTCACAAAACGTGATGTGCGGACTGATTGTTCCCGCGGCGCCATACTTTCTGCCGGAGGTGAGGAACTCGGAGCTACGGTCTTCACCATCCATAGCTTCTAACAAGGGTCGCTCCTCGGCTGGTCTCTCAAGCGAGATCCCGCGAGGAGGATGGTTCTCTGATAGGCATTGGTTCCATTTATTGCGCTGGGTGCGGCACAATACTTTAGCCTCATGGATAGCGCCGCGGAGCCGCTTTCGAAACCAGTAGAGACGAATCACCACAAGCAGCGAGTTGACGAAGATGACGTTCGTCACCATGGAGACCCCCCATAGGGTAGCCTGCTGAACCACATGCAGCCGATTGAGGTCGATAGAGTTCAGCCCCGTCTGGGTGGCTGCACCGGAGGCGAGAAGCAAGGCATCGAGGTAGGACAGCCCTCCGGCCCAGTATAGGACCAGCGACGATGAAAGCGCCCAGAATATAATATATATATAGTGATGGTAGCGTCTTAGAGGCGACTTGGACGGCTCGTGGGTGAGAGGCATGCGGTGTGATGCCAGATTGTGGAGGAATGTGTTGCCGTTGAACCCGAATGTGTCGAAAAAAGAATTGGCGGAGCAGAAGGTAAAAGCTCCAAAGCACACGGGGAATTAAATAGGAAGCTTACAAGCTCTGTCTCCTTGCGTAGAGGGGGGAGTGGCTAGCAAGAGCCGACAAATGCCTCACACAAATGCATGCTGGATTTTGAGGACTTCCGTTTGACAGATCGACTGGGACTCTTACTGAAACAATTACTCGCAAGCTACATGCGCCAAATAAGCTTGGGCCAGTCCCACAACTTATAGCTGCCTGGTTTTTGACATCTACCTTTGGAACCGATCAAGGGAAAGTCCCCAGAAGGAGGATTCGCAGATTTGCCATCCGGTGTTAGGTTGCACCGCAGGAAGCTGGGGGAAACAAGAAGTCGATGATCCGATAAATGGGCGCAAATAATCGCTCATAGTAGCTTGGTGCTTGGCGCGCAACCACTGACGCACGGTCCATAGTTTGGCCAACTTTAAAATCTTTTTTCTCGGCGTGAAGAAGCTGGAGCAGAATCCCGCAACTGGCCGGAAGTCATTCCTTGCATCGTAGGCAAGAATTGCTTGGTTTCCAGGGCCGATGTGGCCGTTGCAGGAACCAGGGACCGCGTCGGTGACGAGATCGGTAGTGTATGTGTGTGCTCTCCCTTTCAAGCCTGTCAGATTTAGTACTACCAAGGAAAAGCTTGTGCGGCTTACACATGTCTGGCTGTCAGACTACTGTCCGACTATAAGATTGGGGCTGTGGCCCAGGACAGCATCCTTAATGTTGGTTAGAAGGCGTGGTGGACGTGCTGTTGCCTTAGGCGTCGATTTCCTCGAGCCAATCCCATGCCACCATACCTCCTTGAGCAATCTGTGCAGTTCTCTTATAATTGTCTCTCTGTGTGTATACTTATCATGTAGGGTCACCTAAGCGAGAGGGAAACTATGGCGTGCTAGACTACAGTTCAGGTCAAAGACAGTGACAAGCAGCAAGCACCATTATCTCCAAGACAAATCTGTCAAATTTTGAAACTAAAGGCAAAACTACCCAAAGCCAGCCAACCAAGGGAAAAAAAAACATTAGAGTCAAGAATTATACCTCGTTCCCACCATCCAGTCGCTGATCATCCCCAGGCTGGAAGCTTGCTATCATCTCAACACTCCAACACCCCTTCTAGCAAGACACACCAGAGGGCAAGTTCTTGCACTTGCTGCTCGTCTTTCCACCGGTAACATCAACGCCAGTCCAGGTGAAGTCGGTGCAGCTACCGCTACCGCACAGGATATAGATATCGGTCGCATCGCTCTCCACGCTGCCCGTAACCTTCTCCATCTTGACGCCGGAGATGGTGACACCGTTGGAGGGGTCGCCGGTAGGGCTGCCGTTCTCGTAGTCCTGCTCGATAACGATACCATAGTCGGTGATGTCGGAGATGACAATGTTGGAGAAGGTCACGTCCTCAACCTCACCGGTCGCGTCGTACACGGTCTTGATGCGCACACCGTTCTCGGACTTGGTGACAGTCGAATCGATGAAGGTAACGTTCTTAACGGTGTTGTCGGAGCGGCCGCCGACGGAGCCAATGGAGAGACCGTGGCCGCCGGAGCAGGTGCCGCCGGAGAAGTAGATGTTCTGAAGAGAAGATTTGTGTTAGCGGTCCTTTTTTTCTGGTTCGCTGCTCCGATGCATTCCCGACGAGAAAGGCAGTATATACGACAAAACTTACCTCGCCCGAGTTGATCGCGACACAGTCGTCCTGGTTCTTCACGGTAGCGCCCGTGATGGTGATGTAGGTGCTCTCACCGATGTCGAAACCGTCAGTGTTGTGGCCACCGTTGTCGTCACCGTCGCTGTTGTCGATGGTCACATTCTCGATAATGAGGTTGTCCGACTCCACGGAGATGGCCTGGACCGGGGTGTTCTTGATCTGCAGGCCCGAGATGACCGAGTTGTCGAGGTCGTGGGCATAGAAGAACTTGGGCTTGGTCTTGCCGCCGTTGCTGCCCTCACCATCCCACCACTTGGCACCGTTTCCGTCGAGCACAGCACCGGAGGACTGGGTGACGGTGATGTCCTTTCCGGAGATGTAAAGGAGAGGGCCATCCCATTCCTCATACTCCCAGGTGGTGGTTCCTTCAAACGTGACCTGGGTGACATGTTATTATGCAGTTCGCGAGGGTTGAATTGGGGCGGGATAATAACCTTGGTGCCGCTCTTCAGGTCCTTGAGGTTAAGAGTCTCTCCGGCAGGGACAGTGATGTCCTTGAGGACAATGTCGGTGCAGGAGGTCTTACTCTCGGAGGCCTGAGCCGCAGAGGTAAAAGTGCAGGTGGACCGCTTGTCGAAGTCAGAGGCACGGGTTGCAGGGGCAGCAGACACCAGGGCAGAAGCCAGGGTGGCACCGCAGATCAAGGAAGACTTGAGGGAAGGCATGCTGAGCGATTGATTATCTGATCAACAGACAAAGACAAAAGAGAGCCAGAGAGGGAGAGGCAGTTCTGATCTACAGAACGAAAACGATGGAAAAGAGAGCGAGAGAGAGGCAAAAGAAGGGATGATTTGCTTGGATGGAGAACCAGTCGAGACACGAGGGCGACGAAGCCCTTTTATATGTGGTAAGGGGACCATTTCTTCGCTGAACCATGAAGCTATTCATTGTTCTCGATGAGGGTTGGGAGGAAGCTTTCGAGCCCTGAAGCAGTGGGTGGAATGCTATCAATCTCTAACCGTCTAACCTAACTGGGGCCGCTAAGTTGATTGGGCCTACGCGGCATTTTCTTAATCGAACTTGGCTTTACGCGTGGACTCGGGGTTAATTCTGGGGCAGGTTTATTACCGACCGGCGCGGGTGTTTGAGTTACTCTCGGCTTCAAAGCTCAAACGCAGCCACTCGTTTCGAAATTACCAAGTTCGCCCCTCGTATGCTCTGGATATTCCGACTCAGTGGCATTGAGGTTCGCATCATGCTGGGAAGAGCCAGAGTATTCATTAATTTTAGGCCTTTGGCGACTATGAAGATCCGAGCCAGCAAGCGAAGCATTAGAATCGAACAAAGTTCTTTCCAACGACCCACCGCGATAGAGATGATAAGGGGGAAGCAATCCTCATCGGAGCTTTCGCAGAAGAATGAGACACCTCTAATTCCATCACAAACACTCTTCCAAACGAGCGCTAATAACGGAGACTAAACCACATTGTGCAACACACAGGTCTAGGCTAATGCAATCTTGTGTATAGCGACACTGAATTGTTGTCGGCAATCCAACTGTGAGGAAATTTGGCTTGCTGATCCATGCCGCTTCGGCACTGATTCTCCACCCACTGATATCCTCCAGGGGACACACAAAGTGACTAGAACAGTATCTATCTCACTCAATAACGGCCAGGACCTGAGCAGGGCACTCCAGTGGAAAGTGGCATGAGGAGCACCTCCTTGGAACGCGATATCTTACATGCCGCCGAACCCCTGGCTATCTACCTTCAATGTCCAATGACAGGCTGTGAGCAACGTGCATGATGACATCCAGGGCACAATAGACGGTGAAGGAACAATGCTCCAGTCCCCTGCGACTTCTGTCCACAATTCTTCATAAACCCCCCGTTCTCGTCACGAGGCCGCAATCAAGTAGAAGTTAAACTGACGCCTGGATGATAACAATACCACCGGTGGCTCTTAATGCATACGACGCACGCTTACATCCGCCTCTATCCGAAGAACGATAAGTTCTCCCCATATCGTTCTCACCGCATGTCAACATGAATTGTAGACTCTGCCGGTTGAATGCTCCATCAAAGCACTCGCCCGAATGAATGGCCCGTTCCAGGGATGCTGCTGCTAAGTAGGTTCACGGTATGATGCCCAGAAATCGTGGACCATTTCTGAACCCACGAAAAGCTTAGAGTGCTTGATTCCGTGCCGCCCGCGCTGGAAGGTCATCGGGTGCGCGGCGTCGCCGGCCAGCGTCACACGGCCCAACCTATTGTCCCAGCGGTGCTCAGGCAGGCTGGGGTCCCAGTTGCGCAGCTTGGCGTACCACACGGGCGCGTCCGCGGGCATCCACTCGAACACGCTGCGCCAGGGGTCCGCGAACCGCCGTGCCAGCTGCTTCTGGTGGCGCACGTGCTCGGCGTTGCTGCGGGTGTTGATACTGTCCCGCGCCTCGGGGAACGAGATGTAGTGGAAGAACACCCAGCTCTCTGGATGCGCGGCGTCGTCGCCGTCGTGCAGGCTCAGCCACCCGCAGTACCCGTCTGGGTGCGGCCCGACCTGGTACTGTACAGTGGGTGGTGCGGCGGCGCGCGCAGGAACAGCGCGTGCTCGCCCGTGTGCGTGCTGAAGCACATGGTCGATGCGAAGTCGATGGGCGTTGGTTTGGCGCGCGCTTCGCCGACGAGGAGCGTGCGGGTGCGGGAGTGTGGCCCGTCTGTGGCGATGAGGATGGCGCCCGTGGCAGAGGTGTTGTCGGCGAAGTGCGCGGTGATGGTTTTGCCGTCCAGGGAGTAGGTGAGGTCGGCGAGCTCTTTGCCCCTTTGGATCTCGTGGTCGGGGGCGAGGTCGGTTAGGAGCATGGCGCGGAACTTGTCGCGGCGCAGGCGGTAGAACTTGGCCGACTCGATGTGCATGATGAGCTCGCCTGTCGCGCCGTTCTTGAAGGGCAGCCGGTCTGTGTCTTTGGTGGCGACGTGCGGGTCGACCTGCGCTGCTTCGATCTGGCTGAAGACGTGGGCGGGCACGAGCTTGCGCAGGGGCTCGGCGCCCCAGTGCAGGCCGAAGGTCCAGTTGCGCTCGCGGGCATGCGGCCTGGCGTCTTTCTCGTAGACGGTGAAGGGGATTCCTTTCTGGTGTGCAGGTGTGTTAGATGGGATGGGGGATGAAGGAGGAGAGGAGACTGGGGGATGGCTACCTTTTTCAGCCCTTGGGCCAGTGCCAGACCAGTGGACCCTGGGAGTGTCAGCGTGGGGGTGCGACTAGGAACGCGTTGGCTGACCTGACCTGCTCCGATGATGAGGACTTTGCGATTGAGCATGGCGCTTAGACAAGACGAGAGCTGGACAGGCTTGCCGGCCATTGTCTACGTAGATCCATCTGCCTAGCTGCAGCTATTTGTGCTTCGTCTCCAAGCCGGTCACCCCGACAGAAGCCGAAAAGTCCGATTCCCCACTGTCGGCCTCGCATAGCTTATGCGCCCTGCTTAAAGGCCCCAGCCCCTCGCCATTTCTTCTCCCTCTCAGCATCGACAAATCCCCATCATGGAGAAAAGAAGCCATCCGCGCAGCTGCCTCTCGTGCCGCGCCCGCAAGATCCGATGCGACCGCGGCCAGCCGTGCGCCAGCTGCGAGCGCGCCGACGCCCCCTGCGTCTATCCGCCCGGCCCAGGTCGGGCCCCTAAACAAGCCCGCAACGCCCGTCTGCTGGACCGCATCTCCCGGCTCGAGACCATCATCCGCCGACTGGAAGAGGAGAACGTGCAGTGCGACCCTGCCTCCGGCCATGGCTCCGGGTCCAGCGCGACTCCGCCGGTCGAGCAGCTAGGCCGGCTGGTCGTGAACGACACGCGCAGCTACTACATCAGCAACGTCCTCTGGGCCCGCCTGGGCGACGAGGTCGAGGAGCTGCGCGATGCGCTGGACGAGCCTACCTCGGAGCCCGAGGACAGCTGGACAGAGGAGCCAGCGAGCAGTTTCCACACCATGCCCCGCGGGCTAGGGACCAACGCCGCCATCATGGGCTTCCGCTCGCTGGCCTCCTCGCTGACAGCCCTGCACCCAGCCCTATCCGAGTCCGTCGCGCTGCTCGAGATCTTCAAGCAGAATGTCGCCCCGCTCGTGCGCATCTTCCACATGCCCACCCTCCTCCGCCTCTACTGGGACGCCGTGGCCGCCGTCGACACCGTCGAGAAGGAAACCGAGGCCCTGCTCTTCGCTATCTACTACTCCGCCGTGATCAGCATGGAACCAGCCCAGTGCCTCGCCACGCTGGGAGTCGAGCGGTCCCTTGCCCTCCGCACCTACCGCTTCGCCGTCGAGCAGGCCCTCGCGCGCGCCAACCTGCTCAACACGCAGAACATAACCCTCCTGCAAGCAACCGTGCTCTTCCTCACGGCACTGCGTAACGAAGACGACAGCCGCACCATCTGGTCGCTCACGGCGCTCATCTTCCACATCGCCCAGGCTATGGGGCTGCACCGCGACGGCGCCCCCTTCGGCCTACCCCCGCTCGAGACCGAGCTGCGCCGCCGCCTGTGGTGGTACATCTGCCTGCTGGACAACCGATCCTCCGAGTACCATGGCTGCCAGCCCATCGTGCAGGACGAGTCGACCTTCGACACCCGCATGCCCCTCAACATCAACGACGCCGACCTCTCCGCCGCCACCCGCCACCCCCCGCCCGAGCGCGCTGACGCTACCGAAATGACCTTCTGTCTCATTCGCTGCCACGCCATGCTCGTCATGTGGAAGATCGGCTATATCCCTGCGACCTTGCCCAGCGCCGTCCCCAGCAGCAGCAGCAGCAGCAGCAGCAGCCGCAACCAAGCCCCCGCCCTGACCCTCGCCGACCGCGAAGCCCTAGCACAGGAGCTCCAGACCCGCCTGGAGACAGAGTACCTGCCGCACTACACAAACGCGAGCTCAAACGACCCGTTCCACGCCGTCGCAGCCGCCGTCACAAGGCTCATTATCGCCCGCACCTGGCTGGTCGTCTACTACCCGAGCCAAACGAACACGAACGAAGTCACTACCACCACCACCACCACCACCACTGCCGCTACCAACAACCCCGACCCAACCCGCACCCGCCTCTTCGACCTCTCGCTCTCCGTCCTCTCGCTGTCGAGCGCGCTCCTCGCGAACGCGGCCATCCAGCAGTGGGCATGGCACTACCAGACGCACTTTCAGTGGCACGCGACCGTCCTCGTGCTGTCGGAGATCTGCCGGCGCCCGCCGTCGCCACAGTGCGACCGCGCCTGGGACTACGTCAACTCCGTGTATGCGCGCTGGAGCGAGAATATGCGCGCCAGTGCCAGCGGCCATTGGAGGAACGAGTCTGGGGCCCGCGGCGCCCTGTGGAGGCCCGTTATGCGTCTTATGGCCAAGGCGAGGTATGTGCGTGAGATTCAGCGCGCGGCCGGATCGGGAGCGTCGGCTGCGACTGCGACTGCGCGGCGCCGCGGGATGCCGTGTGGGCGTGCTGGGCGGGCGTTGGGAATGGGTGCTGATCCTGATCCTGGTACTGGTGAGGAGGTACATATTCCAGGGGATGGAGATGGAGGTGGAGAGAGTGAGTGCGGGGTTGTCGTGAAGAACCATAGCCAGGACCAGGGCCAGCAGGACTATGCGGGAGCCATGCCCAGTGTGTTTCCGCTGGACGGGCTGGACTCGCTGCAGATCATGGGCATGGGCATGGGCATGGGCTTCGGCTTGGAGCCGAATCCGTTCCAGGGGATGTTACCATAGAGGTGGTAGAGCTGGTAGTGGGACGACGGCCTTGGCCTGTAGGATACGGTAGGGTAGGTAGGGAGGGTAATGGGCACTTTTGCGCTATTACGTTGACGGGATGCGCTGGAGTCCTGGTTGTACACTCCTCGTCTACATGAGTAGTGCAGAGCCTAGCCTAGGGCCATGGGCACTGAAGAAGCTAGGCAATACTAAAGTTGAGTGGGGGATACCTACCTAAGTAGAGCATGCTGCGCCCTTGGGAGTCTGTTGAGGTCGTAAAGTGAATTTTCTCTTGTTTCTTGCTGGTTCTTCAGGGACCCAGGCCGGCGACGCGGTTAAGATGCGCTCGGTGCTCAACACCTTTGCATGGGATCAGAGCCGCCAGTCGCCGCTCTATCTTGGTTCGGTCAAGGCCAACGTGGGACATGGGGGGTCTGCTTCTGGTGTCACGGCGCTGATCAAAGTTCTGCTAATGATGCGAAAGACTCGCATACCACCTCACTGCGGGGTCAAGGGCAAAATCAACAGCAGCTTTCCGTCAGATTTAGATAAGCGGCAAGTTCGTATTGCCCTCGAGGGAGAGGCAGAATGGAGCCCACCGAAAGGGAACAAACGCAGAGCCCTGGTGAACAATTTCTCGGCAGCAGGGGGAAACACCGGACTGCTGTTGGAAGATGCTCCAAAGACCGCCATAGACAATAGCCCGCAGTCAGATCAGCGCTCGCATCATGTTGTCGTGCTCTCTGCAAGATCAGCACAGTCTCTGCAGCAGAATTTACGAGCTCTTGCAGACTTTGTGAAGACAAATCCATCGCCTGATCTCTTACCTCGACTCGCTTATACCACAACTGCCCGGCGATTGCACCACAGCCGACGAGCGGCAATTGTAGCATCGGACATTCCACAGCTTGAAGGGTTGCTGTTGGAGAAGGCTAAAACTGTGAGCGATATTGTGCCTAAGACAACACCAGCATTAGGATTCCTGTTCACTGGCCAGGGCGCTCAGCAAACGGCCATGGCGCGTGGGCTGTACGAGAGCTTCTCCTCTTTCCGCGACGATCTCAACAATATGGACTACATTGCCCAAGGACAAGGATTTTCTTCAATCATACCACTCATTGATGGTACGGTCCAGATCCATGATCTGTCCCCAACTGTAATCCAGCTGGGCACATGTATCATCCAGATGGCACTGGCAGGCTTCTGGAAAAGCATCGGATTGCAGCCGAGTTATGTGCTTGATCATAGCCTGGGAGACTATGCCGCATTGCACATCGCCGGCGTCTTAAGTATCGCTGATACGATATACCTCGCCGGGTATCGGGCGACACTGTTGGAGGCGCGATGTCCTCAGGACACCCACAGTATGATAGCCGTCAAGAGCGCTGTCTCGGAGTTGAAGCCTATCGTTGCAAGTGGCCTAATGAAGGTGGCATGTATCAACGGAACCAACGAGACTGTGTTAAGCGGCGAGAGCGGTGCTCTTGATGAGGCATGTGAGCAGCTCTCCCGGCAAGAACTGAAGTTCACGCGGTTGAATCTACCCTATGCTTTCCATTCTGCGCAGGTTGAGCCAATCCTGGATGAACTGGAACGAGCATCGCGCTGTGTACAATTCTGCCAGCCTGTCATCCCGGTCGTGTCTCCTCTATTGAAGGCAGTAGTCGCGGGTAGCGACAATACTGTCTCTATTGGACCCGAATACATCCGACGTCATTGCCGAGAGGCAGTTGACTTTTGGGGGGCCGTCAATGCCGCTCAGGGCCACGGCCTGATGATCGATGGGACAGTGACGATTGAGATTGGCGCGCACCCAATACTGAGTGCCCTCGTCAAGTCTGTCTTGGGTCAAGGCATTGCACCCTATGCCTCGCTCCGCCGTAACGAGGATGTATTCAAGACGCTTTCCGAGACGCTTGCTGCATTGCACCTATCAGGTTTGCCGATAGACTGGAACGAGTACCACCGCGACTTTACCGCTAGCCACAAAGTGTTGGAGCTCCCCAGATACAATTGGGACCTTGCAAATTACTGGATTCAAGATGAGGGCGACTGGTGCCTCCACAGGGGGGCGCAAGGTATCCCCCAGGCCGAACAGAGAAACACTAGGCTCAGTCCTGCTGTGCAAAAGATAATTACTGAGAAGGTAGATACAGAGCACGCACTCATTGTCAGTGAAGCAAGCTTGCAAGATGAGGAGCTGCTTCCTGTCTGTCGTGATCATCGGGTTAGTGGGCTGATTTTGTGTCCATCTGTAAGTGATCCGGTACAAGCTTAGGAGTTCATAGTCGTTAACATGTTTCGTGTTGACAGTCACTGTACGCAGATATCGCGTATACACTCGCGTCTCATCTGCTCGTCGCGCATAAGCCGGAATGGGTATCAGAAAGTCTCAGCCTCGATATTTGCGACATGGCGGTCGAGAAGGCATTGGTGGTGCAGCCAGAGGAATCACACGTCTTTCGCGCGGAAATGGACCTACAATGGGGCACTCGTCACGGCACGATGCAGGTCTACAGCGTAGATGCCAGCGGTCAGCGTCGAGAACTTCATGCCGAATGCAACGTTGTCCTCGAGCGCAGCGAAGCTTGGCGAGGGGAGTGGCAGCGCCAACTGTATCTAATCCACCGCAGGATGGAGCAGCTTCGCAAAGGCTTGGATCTGGGAGTCACACACAAGCTTCGTCGCAGCCTTGCATACAAGCTTTTCTCTTCCGTTGTCGAGTACGGCCCGCGATACCAAGGGCTGGACGAGGTCGTGTTTGATAGTGAAGGGCTGGAGGCAACCGCCACCGTTCGACTGCAGTCCGTTGCAGAGAAGTACGCTCTCAACCCCTTTTGGTGCGACAGCATTGGCCATCTCACTGGGTTTGTAATGAACTCCAGTGCTAGCCCGGATCTTGCAGAGCATGTCTTTGTGAACCATGGCTGGCGGTCGATGCGCACGACAGAGAAGCTGTCGCCTGACGAGGTCTATCAGACCTACGTCAAGATGCAGCCAGTGGGGGATACGGGGTCATTGTTTGCTGGGGACGTCTATCTTCTGCGCAACAACGCTATTGTCGCCGTCTTTGGATCCATTACCTTCCAGAAGGTCCCCAGGCGGGTTCTCGAGATGCTCCTCCCACGGCCCAAGAATGGTGCTATGCCAAAGCGCGTCATTCAAGCAGCTTCAGTGCCGGCTAGGAACGTCAGAAAAGTGGATGACGAATCCTCCAAGCTTGCACAGGTAGTGAAGGTAATCGCTAGCGAGATCGGCATTACTCCTGACAAGCTCCCGGAGGATACTCCCTTCGCAGACTTTGGGGTCGACTCTCTCATGTCGCTGACCATTATCGGATCCATCCGAGAAACGACCGGTCTGGACGCGCCTCCATTCCTGCTGGAGACTTAGCCCACTCTCAGCCGTTTGCGTGATTATCTTGGCTTGGGTAGTTTGCGTGATTATCTTGGCTTGGGTAAAGGCTCTGCGAGCGAAACTAGCGACGATGAGGGCGGCTCATCCTCTGACTCGATCGATACTGAAGCCACAACGCCACCGACTGCTGGGGAACAAGAGAAAGACGCAGTAGTCGGAACTCGCGCAATGGTTGATTTCCTTTTTGCCATTCTCGCCGATGAGGTCGGAGTGAGCACGAAGAGCCTGCTGGAGGCTCGGGATCTGGCTGAGCTAGGCTTGGATTCACTCCTTTCTCTCACCATGCTTGGCCAGGCTCGCGAGGAACTTGACCTCGACCTGCCGCCGCACTTCTTTGTTGAATAAAATAAATAAAATAAATAAAATAAATAAAATAAATAAAATAAATAAAATAAATAAAATAAATAAAAT